GAATTCCAACCCCATGGTCACTTGCAAGTGTGACATGCCATTATTTCCTGCCAAAACTACCTGCCACAGACTATCCATCTGTGACCTTTTGGCATTCTAGAAGCAACCTTGGTCACTCTGTGTTTCTCCTAATTATAGAATCATAGAATGTTAGAGTTGGAAGGTCTGCATAATGGTGCTTGTGCAGATACAGTGTGGAGTGGAGCATGGGCAGAAGTCCTCTGTAGTTTTGGGTCCAGATCCAGCTTGGCATGCGCCTTTGGCAGAAGGCTGCCCTGGCCACAGTACACAGTCTATAGTCCAGCATGGGGCCCTCAGCTTAGGACCACAGCCCTGTCCATTGCCCTGGCACTCAATTCATAGTCCAGCAAGGCACTGATAGTAAAAGAGTCTCTTTAACAGTGCAATCTGGAACGGCTTCTTGGCAACAGAAGGAAGACCTTTTCTTCTTGTGTGCTCATCCACCCACAAAGATAATCTGAAAGATCTTCCCGTGGGTACCATGTATACATAATTAGTGACTTTTCAGAGTTGGCCCCGAAGCTACAGAAATTCTTCCCCTACCATGGTTTTTCATCACTGATGATTTTCATTAGTCTATGCTCTTGTAGAAATCAAGAATGTGTTGGTTCTTTTAACCTGCTATCATATTCTTGTAATTTTGTGTTAGATGGGGGTTTTTATTTGTATTGGCTGCCTTGATATTGTAGGGGGAACTTGACTTTATTTGTCTTGAATAAATGAAAGACAAGGAACTTTACAAGCAAAAGCATGATTGCATTGAGATAGGCCAGTTTGGTGGCACACTTTCATCTGGAAGGGAGACCCATTTAATTTTGGGTCTTCTCAAAGTATGTGTGCATAAGATTGCAGCTTTGGCACCATTATTTAGTATCTCTAGAATTTTCCCCAAGAACTTTGTGATCACTGTACAAGGGAAATTAAGGCAGAGAGAGAAAAGGGTTTGCCCAAGGCTTGTACAGTGCATCCATGAATGAGCATATAAAATACAAATAATAAAACAGTCAAAATGTGAATATTAAATTAAATACACCAGCATTTACGTGAAGATTATAATTTCTTAAGGCCATTTCCATCAAGTCTAGAAAAAATTAGGTAATTTTTTACAGCTGGGTTTTTGTAAATTAAAGAAGTATCCACAATCAAGAGGAAAAAATGAAAGATTAAGGAAAGTGCCTAATTTTTCTAAAGAATCTTTCTTTCTCTAGGTTTACTAGTAAGCTACAGCTTGCTGCCATTTTTTAAACACTGTAATATCTTTAGATGCAGTAATCATGTTGTGGTAGAATAAACTCATCATTGTCTGTGTTCTTGGCTTCATATAAAAATTCTATACAGTTTGAGATACTTTAATTGGCACTCATCAAATGCAAGAATGGGATTTCATTTGGCAGATTTGGCATGCACTGCTCCTTACAACCTATGGAGGGGGAGTGAGAGAGAGAGAGAGTGATGAAGGCTTTGTCATTACATGATGTGTACTGACGATGTTCTATAAAATTATACTAGGCACTTAATTATATTCTATAATTAATATTCTGTAATAATTCCCAGTTTGGATCTGTTCCTGTTCCCACTGTTTTGCCATTCATCTCAACAGACAGGCAATTGGAAGTCCTTAGTAACCTCTTTATCAATATATTGTATTGCAGTTTTAAACTATTTAAAATGTTAGTATTTGGGGGGGGGCACTGAGAACTAAAAGGCAATCCTGGATCCATTCCAGTCTGGCTTTCGCCCTGCTCATGGGAAAGAGACTGCACTGGCCACCCTCTCGGATGACCTCCAGAGGCATCTGGATTAAGGTGGGTCGGCACTGCTGTTAATACTTGATCTAATGGCAGCATTCAAAACGGTCAACTATGATTTTTTTGACCTACCGCCTTGCCAGTGCGGGATATGGGGGACTGCTTTACAGTGGCTGTCCACCTTTCTCCATGGTTGGGGACAGAGGGTGGCACTTGGGGAGAGGGTATCTCAATGTTACTCTTTGGTATGTGGCGTCCTGCAAGGGGCAATCCTCTCCCTGATGATATTTAACATCTATATGTGCCCCCTTGCCCAGTTAATCCAGTACGCTGATGACACACAGCTGTATCTGTTGATAGATGGCCGGCCTGAGTCCACCCCAGAAGATTTGACTAGTGCACTGGAAGCCGTGGCTAGTTGGTTGCAACAGAGTCGGCTGAAACTGAATCCAGTGAAGACGGAGGTCCTGTACCTGTGTTTTGGGGGGTTGGGATCGGGAATCTAACTCCCAGCCCTTGGGGGGGTGCCATTGACACCAACCCCAATGATGAGGAGTCTAGGGGTGATTCTGAATGCCTCCCTTTCTATGGAAGCCCAGGTCACCAATACCACCAGATCAGCCTTTTACCATCGTCAGCTGGTTAGGCAGCTGGTTCCTTATCTCTCCCCCCATGACCTTGCGACAGTGAGGTTAGATTACTGCAACTCTCTCTATGCAGGCCTAGCCTTCAGTCTAACCCAAAAGCTTCAGCTGGTATAAAATGCAGTGGCATGCCTCATGACTGGGAGCCAGTCTGGCGTAGTGGTTAAGTGTGCGGAATCTAATCTGGGAGAACCGGGTTTGATTCCCCACTCCTCCACTTGCAGCTGCTGGATGACCTTGGGCAAGCCATAGTTCTGGCACAGCTGTTCTTGAAAAAAGAGCAGTTTCTGTCAGAGCTCTCTCAGCCCCACCTACCTCACAGGGTGTCTGTTGTGGGGAGGGGGAGGGAAAGGAGTTTGTAAGCCACTCTGAGACTCCTTTGGGTAGTGAAGGGTGGGGTATAAAGCCAATCTCTTCTTCTCCTTCTCTATGTGGACACACATTCAGCCAGTGCTGTACCAGCTGCATTGACTGCCAATTGAATCCTGGATCAGATTCAAGGTTATGGTATTAACCTTTAAGGCCCTATGTGGCCAGGGACCAGCATACCTGCTAGACTACCTCTCATCATATATGCCCTTGTGTTTATCTGAGCAGCACCATTTAGCTGTCTCCAGCCCAAAGTACATCAGGGCCTTTTCAGCTGTGGCCCCTTCCTGGTGGAACATGCTTCCGGTTCAGATGAGGGCCCTGCAGGATTTATTACAATTCCACAGGGCCTGCAGAATGGAGCTATTCCGCCAGGCTGAGGTGGCGGATGTCCAAATGACACTGGCCTTCCCTGCTCAACTTGATGAATCTGCACCATCCGCCTCATTTGCCTTAGGGCACTACCCACACCAACTGGCGCCAGCACCCAACTGTTTCTGGTTTCCCTGAGAGAAAATGGGTTCTTTGAAGGGTAATGTCCAAATGACACTGGCCTTCCCTGCTCAACTTGATGAATCTGCACCATCCGCCTCATTTGCCTTAGGGCACTACCCACACCAACTGGCACCAGCACCCAACTGTTTCTGGTTTCCCTGAGAGAAAATGGGTTCTTTGAAGGGTATATAGTATTGTACCCCATTGATGTCCGTGTCCTCCCCAGGCTCCATCCCCAAATCTCCAGGAGTTTTCCAACCTGGAGCTAGCAACTCTACCCACCCATCCCCTGCTGGTGGCTAGGGGCAACCTGGCAACCCTAACTGGCAGAGAAGTTTGCAGAATTCTTCCTTCCGTCTGCATGCACCGCCTCTCAGAGAAGCACAGCAGAAGAGGGCGGGGGTCCTGCTACTTCCAATGCTTCCAGACCAATAAGAACAGAAATTTACTACGAGCTCATTAGCCATCTGACACGATGGGAATTAAAAAAGGGGGGAATAAAACCTCAGGCAGCCTCCCATTCCATCGATATATAACATAAATACACAGCCTCACTGTATGCTGCTTGGTAAGTCTATAAAGGGCAAAAAGTGGTTTAGGAGTAGCCCTGCAGGCTCAGGCCAAGTCCTCTCTTCTCTAGCTTTCTGTTCCAAATAGTGTTGAGTGAGATGCCTCTGAGACAATTGTCAAGGTTCTGTTTTTAGCTGTTATAGCCAATAGCCATGTCTTCCATGAAGTTGTCTAATTTGTATTAAAAGCCATCTAAGCGACTGTCCATCACTCCATTTTGTGGTGGCAAATTCCATTAGGTAATTATGTTGCCTAAAAGAAATACTTCCTTCCGACAATCTTGAATCTATTTGCAGTTGACTTAATTGGGTAATTCTGAGCTCTGGTTTTGTGCACTAGAGACTTCCCTAGGTTGTCTGCAGCATGTTATGCCTCCAGTCCGTACACAGAAACCTTTTCCCACTGGACACCCACCCATCCCCCTACTCATAAGACTGTAAAGGAAGGGTACAACCACTGCTTGCTATAACAGAACATAATGTGATTCACTTTTTTTAAAAAGATGAAAGCATTAGAAAGCTGTTTTAGTAATGTAACAGACAACTCTCATTAGGACTCTTTACTGACATGTTGATTATTAGGAAGCAAATTTAATAATGTTTCACAGATGCGGCAGAACCCATTTGCCAAAATGATCTTCAGACAAAACCTTTTTATTTTTCTCCCCCGCTCAAGTAATCTGGTAATCAAAAGGCAATCTTCTAAAGTGAATTAAGAGCAAGATGATTTTCGATGCGAAACTTCAGCGAGGAGGGGGGGAAGAGGTGAAGGGAAAAAGACAAAACACTTAACAAGTGCACATATACAAAACACTTAGATTATTTCTTCATCCTAAAACACCCACTCAGTCCAATTGTTGTTCTCACAGCCACGGAGTCCTACTCCAGAGCCACTATTTTTATATCATGGCACCATTCAAAAGGAGAAGCTTCCTGGGTAGAGCTTGCTGGGTACAGATGATCCCAAAGAGTCTTGGAGCCTGGGGTTGCAGCTTAGCCCAAATCTGTGCAACAAGACTCCTTGTTTTCAGGAAGATGCTGGCACTTCCACCAGTGAATGCTATTGATATCCATTTAAAAAACAACAACAACAACATACTGTGCTTTACCTAAAGGTTTTATGAAATCACTGCTTTGTGTGCTTTTCCCCTTAGTGTGTGCCAAAGGCCAAGTGATCACTGGACAGTACCGCATGCTTGCCAAACATGGTGGCTATGTGTGGCTGGAGACCCAAGGAACAGTTATCTACAACACACGCAACTTGCAGCCTCAGTGCATCATCTGTGTCAACTATGTTCTGAGGTAGGTCAACTGGAAAGAATTTGAGTCGCCTCAACATTTTGCTTTGCAGGATTCCGGGTTTCCATTTCCTGGTCATCCAGCTTCCTTTTGGAAGCCAGGAGTGCCTATTCTTCAATATGCAGGATAGCAGGCCTCCTTAAGGAAACATGTACTCGCACTTCCTCCAAGTGTATCTAAGAACAAACCACTGAGGCATCTCCATGACTAGTTCTTGATCTCAGACTGATGCTGTGAGCTAGCAAACTAATGGAAAGGAGACCCTGTGACTAAGTGTACTTTTAGGTTTTCTAGGTATCAGTTATTATGCAGCCCAGTCTTCCCAAATGAGAATATTCCATTAGCCTCTAAAAAATCCCAGTTGCCACAGGTGGGCCTACAAGTAATCCACATACAACTTGAGGTATACATATACACAGAATACGGGCTCAGATAATGGTAGGAAAGGTCAGGGAGAAGCTCAAGCCTTCCCTAGCTACTGCTTTCTTGGGAAGCTGATTTTGAAAAGTAAAAATATACACCAATGTATGGGGGTGAGAGAGAGTGGAAAGGGGAACACACAAACAAAAATTATATCAAGCTCAATGCAGAAACTTTTTTTCCCCAAAAACAATTTATTAGGATATATTACTAAGTCAAGTACAAGTTATATTAATAGTTATTATACATCCTTTTTTCTATCCTTCTCCCCCCCTGGCTTCCCACAGTGCTCCAAACCTCCAGCCCATTTCTTAAATTTTCTTCTATTTTCCCTTATCTTTTAATCATCGTCTACCGGTAACATTTCTTTCACCTATTGTTTTCTTATAATTATCTATTTTCTAATAACACACACTTTTCAATAACTGTCAAAGCAAATTAAATTGTCCTTTACATCCCAATATTTCTCTAAATAATCTTTAAAATCTTTTCAGTCTGCGTAAAATTCTTCTGCTTCCAGATTCTTAAGTTTCCTTGTCATTTTGTCCATTTCAACCATAAACAGTAGTTTCCTTATCCAGTCCCCGATTTCTGGGATTCTGTCCTGTTTCCAACATAAGCTCAATGCAGAAACTTGAAGCCACTTACATTGTGTTTTCCAGGGGCTCTGTCATCTAAACAATGGCAAAACTAGGAGCTGCTGTATTTTAACAGCATACCAGCATCTTGTGCCCTCAGCATCTCAGGGAGGGACTGTGGCTCAGTGGCAAAGCCTCTGCTTGGCATGCAGAAGACCCCAGGTTCAATTCCTGGCATCTCCAATCAAAAGGATCAGATAGTAGGTGATGTGAGAGACCTCTAACACCCTGGAGAGCTGCTGCCAGTCTGAGTAGACAATATTGCTTTTGATGGACCACTGGTCTGATTCAGTATAAGATAAATTTCATCTGTATCCATTTTCTTTGGGCCTCTCAGAGAATGTGTGTGTGGCAAGGAGTGGGAGCAAAACAGAAATTCCTGCCCTGGCAATATTTTCAGGGATTCCCAAACATGCCTGTAAGAAAGGAGGTTGGAAGAGAATCCACCTCTGGCTAAAACAAAAACTTGACATGTGAAGATTTGTTAATGCTTGTCAGCGGTGTGAGAGGCAAATCCACTTGTCAGTTCCTCATCCTAGAAGGAAGTAAATGTCTCTTTCTCTGCCTTCAAGGCCATATGGCCATTCATCAGTCAATAAAACATGGTATGATTAGAGAGACCTCATTCTCTGTTGCCCTAGACAAGCCTGTTGGTTCACTGTGATTCTTGTACTGTGATTTTACATTTTCACTTCATTGATCCGGTACAAAAACTGCCTAGAATGAGATAGACACAGTGCAATTACTGTTTGTTCCAAATGTATGGATGATGTTTCTGACTCCAACAACTCATCCAAAATCAGGTGACATTTTGCTTTATACACACACAGATATATATATAATTAATGACTATTTCCCCTTTTAACTAAGTGTTTGTTAACATCATGCTACAAAGTGTAAATGTTTTCTAAAATACCTAATTGTCTTGTCTTGTTAGTGAAATTGAGAGCAACGATATTGTGTTCTCCATGGATCAGACAGAGTCGCTGTTTAAGCCTCGCATGATGGCAATGAATCCAAGTGCGTTTGACAATGGTGACCCAGGAGTGGATAAGAGTGATTTCTTGTTCACCAAGCTGAAAGAAGAACCAGAGGAACTGGCCCAGTTGGCACCAACACCAGGCGATGCTATCATATCTCTTGACTTTGGTTAGTCATGTTTTTGGCCCACTGTGGGGGTGGAGAGGTGACACGTCTTTTAAAATGTACTCAGTGCTTAACAGTCTGCCAGAGCACTATTGGTTAGATGTCCCAGAAACTAGTAAACACAGAGGATCTTCCAGCAAATTTTATTGCCTCAAAGTAATTCTTGCTTTAACTAATATATATAGAGGTGCTTGGGGTTGTGGTTTTGCAATCACTTAGAGTCACTTGTTGTCTTTTCCATTAGTTTATTTATCTCACATTGACCAATCTATGAACATGCAGACAGAATCCCAAATCTGTACCAATGTTTGAACATTGTCTGCCCTAGTTCAGGGGTAGGGCCACGTGAATATTACTTGCATATGCATTGCTAATCATAGATTGCTAATCCAAATCTATTGAACATCCCACATCTGTGCACTAATGTGTGATGCCTAAATTCCTTATGCAACAAACAGATCCTTGAACTACACAATCAGATCTAAAGAGTTGACGTTCACAACTGTGACTGGCACTGGGCCCATCACATCCATTATTCATTTAGACGAGACACATCAACTTATAAGATGCAGGGAACACCCCTTGACTGAAAAAGAGGAAAGTAAGCCATCGCTTACATTGCCCCAGGTTGCCGTTGGTGGCAGCGGCATTCCCAGTGTCAGCAGACATCGTCTAGGGATCACAGACATACAATATGTTTGCATCGTGATCACTATAGAGCTGCATATGACAAGTCGGACAGGGTTATGGCTTATCACTTGCTTATGCTAAACCAAGACTTAGCTATACTCTTCCACATGACATAAGGAGTCCCCTGCCTTCCATTTTTCTCTCTGTGTATATGTTTTGTCGCGGCCTGTCTGGAACAGTGGGATCAACAGACTCTCAAGGATGAGATGACCTTGCTTGTGTCAATTTCAGGGACGCAAAAGTTTGAGGAAATCTCTACCTACAACAAAACTGTGATGACCCCAAACAAGCCGTGGACTCCAGAAGCCAAGAGCCAAGCTCCCCAGGCTGAAAACCTGAGCGTGCCATCATTTACACTGCCCCAGGTGGCCCCCGGCAGCAGCACTCCCAGTGCAAGCAGCAACAGCAGCTGTTCCACCGTAAGGAAGACCTTTTGAAATTAATGTCAGCTTTTCATTTCTCCTGCACTAGGCTGTGATGAAAATGCATGTTATGAAATCAGGCCATATATTACTTTTATGACTGCTTACATTACCTGTAGTACAAGCCTTTTTGTCTTTTGAAGTAGCTGTGGTTTCACCAAAACCAACAAGTTGTGGTGGTTGGACAGCAGACAGTGATGGTGTTGATCTGGGGTGGTGTTTTGACCCAGGAAGGCTAGGTTCTCTCTAATATTGTCACTGGAAGGCCAAAGAGAATTAACACGGCTGCATAGTATTAGACTAATGAAGCTAGTTTTATTAAGATGATATACAAATATTCATGGCAACATATCTGGTGAGATTTCCTTCCCGGTTCACACGAACGTGGTATTAATGGATTTCTATTGTATCTTTAAAGCTGAAGGGTTAACTATTTAAAAAAAAAATATTTCCAGGACATTTTAAGATGAAAGGGAAAATGCCTGGATACAGTATCAGTTGTCTGTCTGAGACCATAATTTTTAATAATAAGGGGCATTATTTCTAGGTGCTGTCCTTGTATTGTACAGCTGTAACCCTGAAAATAATCCCTAACACAATTTCATGGGCTGGACCAAGACTAAATTTTCGACTCATGCGACAGACTTCTGCCAGTGGAACAGAACGTTCCTAACGCCCCACCCTCTCCCGGCACAGCCCACAAATGCTACTCCTGGGGGGACAGGGGACCCCCCAAAACAGCATGAGAAGCAAATCTGGGGTCTGCAGCAGAAAGGGAGAAGTGGTAGGGATTACCATGCCATTTCAGATTGTGAAAAATTTAGTCTGGATCCAACTCCATATTTTTACATTAAATTGAAGTTACCAAATAAATCCCCTTTAGTTTGTTTGCAACTATTGGGTATATTTATTTAATTACCCTAATATCTGTAGAGTCCTTGACTCTTTTGGCATAATAGATGAATATGGCTGTTTCTCTACCAACTGAAAGTATAATCTATATATCTAATTTCCAACATGGCCCCCTGCATGCGGATACTTATTTCCGCACATCGAGGGCACCTGGGGGGAGGGAGATTTTCATGCACACTTAGGGCAGTCCGCAGGTGTGCACAAAAATCTGTAAACCCGAAAAAATATTGGGGGGATACTTAAATCCCCCCAAAAGTGACAGAGTTTAGGATTTTTGTGCACACGTGGGGACCGCCCCACGTGCGCACAAACCTCTCCCTCCCCCCCAGGTCCCCCCGATGTGCGGATTTAAGTATCCGCACACCAGGGGGCGACTTGAGAATTAGATATATAGATGGCTGTTTCTCTACCAACTGAAAGTATAATTCTCTATATTTAGCTGGTGTAATTCCAGAGCAGTTAATACACATAAAGCCACATGAAAAGGGAGAAAAAAAGAACCAGGCTCTCTTTGTTCTTTAAGAAGAGATTTCAGTTTAATCCTCTTGCTTATTTTATAACAGACATCTATTGATGCAATGCAGAACATTAGAAAACAAGTATATGGCTTACTCCCTCTTCCCTTGTACCTCCTTCTTTTAACATGTCTCTATCCTTACTTTATCAGCTAAAGATCCAGCATCCAGTGTATCATTTCCCCCATGCAAATCAGCCACTTGGGTCTCTGTATCTCTGCATAGTAAAGACAGCATCATATGATAACTTATTCTAGGATGCAAGATAGGCAAGTCAGGAGCCCCTGATCTTGCAAAAGATTGTTGACTTAGTTTAGGCTAGGTCCACATGAATGCCTTTTCAGAACACTAAAGACTATGTAAAAGAGAGGTCACTTCTCAAGGGTGTGTATACACACCATCCTGTTTTTGCCACTGGTAAACAAGTGTGTGTGTCAGATCTGTTTAATCAGAGATAGCACTGGGATGAAAGACGTAAGTGTACACATTAAGAAAAATGACCAGTGGGTTGTTATCCAGGAGTAACTAATTGTGTGAACTTAGACAATCTTTGAAAACCTTGATTTAATTTGATATCAAAATATAAGCATATCTCAAGAAGTAATAATTTAGAGGAAAGCAAGTATCATGTTTTCAAATGAAGCTATTGAAGAAATAATTTCCTGTTACAGAATCTGATGTCGCTGAATTTGCTCTTCTTTGAAAACAAAACAGTGCAGTCATGCAACTGTTGCTTCTGATAATCCCACCAAAATCTTTACTAGCCCATCTGTCCGTACATGCCTATACTAGTCATTTGTGGCCAAAAAAGAAAGAGGCAACTTTAGTTACCCACTAGTAACCTTGAAGAAATTCTTATTTGCCATAGGTGAGCAGGTTAGTGCTTGTGAAAGACTATTATTTTGTTATGTTCTTTTTACTGCAGCCCAGTAGCCCTGGAGACTATTACACTTCCTTGGATGAAGACCTGAAGATTGAAATGATCGAGAAACTTTTTGCCATGGACACAGATGCCAAAAACCAATGCAACTCACAGGTAAGTAATGCAGTGAGGCAAATCTGACACCACTAATATGTAACCCCCACACTCTGTCTCTCTCTTTCTAAGATCTGTGGCATCCTGTTTAGCATCAGTGATTGCTTCTCTTGCCCACCAGGAAAGCGCAGTGCATGGTTGCATGGGCATTGCATAAATACATAAGTAATGGAAATAAGCACCATTACACTAGAATCCTTTTCTCTGGCATTCTGTTTTTCTATGCAGAGGGATTTTTTTCCCCTGTGGAGGAACATTCAGTCTAGTGATACCCCAACCTGCAGTCTGATGTGGTGAAGTCCAGGCACAGGTTTACTATTCCAGTGGGAACTTAACTCTCCTATCACTCGCAATTCAGGGTTAGCAACATGTGGACTCCTTTTCATTTCAGAAGGCTTTTGTGGGAGGGGTTTAGTTCAGTCCATGGGAGCCTGCTATCTTCTTACTCCACACCTTAAATAATATAACAAAATGCAGGCAATGTGTTACTTATTGTAGCCAAGATCTCAATTTCTGGTTTTTCCCAAATGAAATCCTCTCATTGATAGTACAACTTCAGTTTTTCCTAAAGAGGATCTGCTGCTTGGGTGTATGAATATAAAGTGCACACACATATACAAAACAGAAGGCTACATATGCTTGTTATCCCCTTTCAGGCACTTACTTTAGATAGTTTAATGCGTAGCCAAGCACCAAACTGGGGTTGTAAAACTGAAAAACATGTAGAGTAGCCCCGATTTTATGGAAATATCTTTTGGGTGGAATTTCATCTCTTTGTAACACTAAACTAGAATTTCTCTTTGGGAACAAGCATAAGTAAGGTCTGTGCAGACCTATTCTCATATAATTCAGTCCCAGAAAACTGTTTGTAATGCAAACTGTAATGCAAGATGGCTCCTTCACTCCAAATTCCTCCATGACCTCAAATAATAATAATAATAACAATAACAATAACGCTTTTGATTTATTAATCGCTTTCCCCACGAGTGGGCTCAAAGTGATTTACAGTTACACTTTTAGACAGGGGACTAACAATGTTTCATAGGGGGTAGGAAAGACAACATATAATTCATTTTTAATTGCACACACCGTAACTGCACTGTGGAAACGTCTCTGGCTTGGATCAGTCATGTCTCCAAAGGGGGGGAGGGGATGGACTTGAAGTGAGAAGAAGTCCCACTGCTTATGAAACCTGTTTATTTAGACTGAAGGTTTACTTACACATAACATCTGGGATTGAACGGATTCAAATTCCGAGTGGCAAGGCACACACCATACCTTGCCTGGCACAATGTTGCAGAGATTCTGGATTGCTTATGGATACATTCTCACTAGCTGTAAAAAGGGCATCCTATGCCCTAAACATGTAGGAGACTGTTAGCCCACAATCTGTACACATCGATGTGCTCTACATACAACAATTTATGCAGATAACAACATATTATGCACATTCAGAAACTCTGTGAAATGCCAGATTCCCACGCACGCTTAGGTTGCCTGCACACAGGATCCTCTAAGTAACACATGGAAGTCAGACTGGACAACAGCAGGATACAGATCCCACCCCACTCACTTTTTTAATTCATAGTAAATTTATACCCTGCCTTTCTGCCATTTACAAACAGCGCATAAAGCAGTTGATAGGATGAACACAAGAACAGATAAAATTAAAAAATGGTAACATAATAGCAGTGATGGGAAAATATTTTCCATTGTCTAGAAAGGATTACTGTCTTGGATATTAGATTGGGACATGGAAGGGGGACAATCTCATTTCTAGAAACTTCGTGTGTTACAATTCTAACTGTTGATTTCACCCTCACCACCCTGTTTTCTTTGCACAGACTGACTTCAATGAGCTGGACCTTGAAACCTTAGCTCCTTACATTCCCATGGATGGAGAAGATTTCCAGCTCAGTCCTATCTGCCAAGAAGAACGTCCTCTTGCTGAAAGCGCCCAGCTCACACAGCAGAGCTTAAGTAACATGAGCAGCCTCTTTCAGCCCCTTGCTCCTCCCTCACAAAACCAGTTCCTTCCAGAAAAATACTGCCAACAGATGTCTAGCAAAAACATGAACACTGGCCAGGAAACTGGGCCGTCAGCCTTCTTCCACCATGGGAGCCAGTCATCATCGTTGCTGTCCTACTATGCACAAGCCAGCACTCCACTGTCTTCAATGGGTGGAAGACCAAATACTCAGTGGCCACCTGACCCTCCATTACAATACATCCCTACAAAATGGAGGGTAGTGGGCAACAAGTGCTCTGGACCCCTCGCCAGCTGTCCATCAGGACCACCATTGCATTTGCCTAACATGGACTCATATAAGAAAAGGTAACTCCAGACATAAAGCATGACTATTCTTAAGTGATTGGGCTGATTCGCACATCCTGTTGGAAGGCAGGGGACAGAGCCATGAATGATTTTGACTTACAGCTACCATGTGCACATGTAAGTCAGTAGCTCATGGGTCTCATCTGCAAGACTCCAAAATAAATCTTGTGAGAATACAGATTTTGCTGCAACTGTTTTGTGTGGCAATGGAGTAGGGAACTGTCACATGGTAAAACTGACCCAGATTAATGTGCGAAGCGGCTCAAAAACCCAGAATTTCTGCTTGCCTGCTTTGAAAATATGTATTTTCCTGCTTAGTTGAAAAATGAGACAGCAATTCAGTCTTTTTTTTACATCCGTGACTTCCCTTCGCTTGATTCCAGTTGGACTTCAATGTGGTTTTAAAAGTATGTCGTAATTGACTTCCCCCAAACAACAAAAATCATTAAGGTAAGACGTAAGCATGTTTAGATAAGACAAAGCAATAGGAAAGCTGTTCATTCTTGGCCCTGAGACAAGTCTGCTAGCTGTTATACAATATTATGCCTGTGCTGAGAACATCAACATGGCCAGCAGTATGTTTCTAGGTTCCTATCAAGGTGGAGGTGCTTACCTTTGAAGCCCTTCTGGGTTTGGGACCTGCATACTTGAAGGAACTCACGTGAAGCTGTGTGGCAACTGTGATCCTCCTGTCAGAGCTTCTTGATTGTCCCTCATAGGCAGTTAAAAGCATCCTGTGCCCATTCAAGGACCTTTTTGGTGGCCCCTTGCAGAATCGCCTCCCAAAATGCTGTGAGCAAGGCTGCCATTTTAGTCCAGGTCCAAGGCTGAATTTCTTAAGAGAGTTTTTTGTATAGGAGGTTAGGTTTAAATTGGCGTATATTTTAGTTATTTATATTTTAAGTGGATGTATATCTGTTTCAATGACTTTCATTTTTCTGAAATGATATCTATCTATCTATATCTATCTATAAAAAGGTGAGGTATAACTGATTTAAATAAAATAAATAAGTGGCTGGAACCAAAAGTAGGACGTTTGACCATAATTAACTCGACAGTCCCAAAAGTAGAAACCTCATGGGGAAGTTATCCTCCCATGAAAACTGGAAGTTTGCCAGCAGTCAAATCAGGAAGAGTGGGCTAGGAGTCAGGAAGAGGACAGCGTTGGGCTCATGTCAGCTTAGAGAACTTCTCATGGGTTTTTGTTTCTTTAAAGTAAAGTAAGACTATTTGAATGGACATGTGGGGTTTTTTAAAAGTTGTAGGCATTTTTTAAATTGTTATTATTTATTAGTCTTATTAATCGCCCACCCTGTGAACAGGCTCTATAAAATTGTAATTTTAAATTACAATTAATGCATAGTTAAAAATGAAAACAAAAAGCATCAGTAGGACAATAAATTCAACCAATCCAGATGGCAATTGCAGTTTCTCTTTTATCAGCCACACTGCTGTCCTGCACGGCAGGGCAAGGGAGAGTACATGGGGGACAAGGAAGGAAGGAAGGAAGGAAGGAAGGAAGGAAGGAAGGAAGCCAGTCTCAACATCCTGTTGCTGCCCTCAACTGAAAGCCTGGCGGAACATCTCTGCCTTGCAGGCCCTGCAGAATTGCATCAGATCCCACAGGGCCCTGATGTTATTTGGCAGAGAGTTCCACCAGGTCAGGGCCAAGACCGAGAAAACCCTGGCCCTAGTCAAGGACATCCGGATCTCTCTAGGGCTGGGGATCACCAGCAGGTTATATCTGCTGATTTCAGGGTTCTCCTGGGGACATATTGGAGGAGACAGTCCCAAGGGTATGTGGGCCCCTGACTGCTCAAAGCCTTAAAAGTTAACACTAACACCTTAAATCTGACTTGGTACTCCACTGGTAACCAGTGTAGCTGGCGCAGCACAGGCTGTATATGTGCTGTCCATGGAATTCCTGCCAGGACTCGCACCGCCGCATTCTGGATCAGTTGGAGCCTCTGGGTCAGTCTCAAGGGCAGGCCAGCATAGAGCGAGTTACAGTAGTCCAGCCTGGATGTGACCATCATATGGATTACAGTGGGTGGCTTGGGTGGCGACAGGTAAGGGGCCAGTAGCCATGCTTGGCGTAGATGGTAAAACACCAGCCTGGCAGTGTTTGTGACCTGTGCCTCCATTGCCAGGGAGGCATCCAAAGTCACACCCAGAGTCTTGGCAAAGCATGCCAGTATCAGCGGTGCCCCATCAAGGGCCAGGAGCCTGGACCCGAACCCCAAAGCCTCTCTCCCCTGCCACAGAACCTCTGTTTTTTCTGGGTTCAGTCTCAGCCTGCTCTTTCTCAACCATCCTGCCACAGGCTCCAACCCCTCGGCCAGGTGTTGTGGGGTGGTATCCGGGTGGCCGTCCAAGAGCACATACAGCGCCTCCTTTTTATCCTCACATCAACACTTAGGTTTAGGCTGAAAGAGACTGTGGGAGCAATCCTAAGCAGATCTACTTGGAAGTAAGTCCCATTTCATTCAACGGGGCTTACTGCCAGGAAAGTGTTCTTCAGATGCAGCCCGTGTCTGGCCAAATGTCACTTTGTGAGCTTTATAGCTGTGTGGGGATCTGAACCCATGTCTCCCCATCCCTAATGCATATTGCGTCACATACCAAAGAGTATGTGGATACATGTGCAGGCTTACACTCCACACTTCCTGATAAGTGTAATTGCTTGGGGTCTGCCATGCATCATTGGCCCAGTGCAGAAGCAGCTCATCCATGTCTCCTTCCTAAGCCATTGCAATAACCATCGACAAGCCAGAACTACATGGCCAGGGTCTGTATTGCAAGCACTTCCCACCCAATAACTGCCTAGAAGGGCAGGAGATAGTTACACAGGAAGTAACCTTGGGATGTCTCTTTGTGACCTTTCAGATGTTATCTCAGCTCTGCTGGGTGAAGCCACAGAAAAACATCTCCCACATTGCCTCAAGACAATCTACCTTTGGTTCAGTTCAGACATTGCACAGAACCATAGTCTAATTAAACTAACTGTGGTTGGTATGATTAAAAGCCAGCCACTCTGCTAGCTGTGGTTACTTTGGGTCTATCAAATCTGAAGCCAAGATCTGAGTTTGGTTTATTAACCAGTGTTAGTCTTGACTATAGTTTCACTTCAGGTCTGAATGCAGAGATCTGGATTAAACCTGGCTTGTTCTCAGGCAACATAGCAAGAAATGAAAGCAATGTTTTTTCTGGGGAAACCAGGGTGTGATTGCCTGTAAACCATGTTTTCCCATTCTGCTGAACTGAATGAGGGTATTATAGATTAAGTCTGAGCAAAAGCAGGTAGCTTTTGCTAGCATGATCCTTACTGACCACAATACACAAGGACAGCAGAGCTGTGGAAATAGATTCTTTCCTTAGAACACTTCATTTGTGGTATGAAAAAATGGTGGCCGATAAGTATTTATTTATCCATTCATATGGTTCATTTGAATTTTAATATATTCATTGTGGTTTCTCTCCTTGAGTTTTCTGCTCATGAATGAAGGGTGTGGAAACAAGAAACAAAGAACTTGTGTATCATAATTTATTAGCATCCTATCGCAGTTTCCTGCAGCGAGTTGTCTCTCATAAATGGTGTTCCAAGTGTCTTTTGGCCAATGAAGCACTCAGAGCTGTATTAGGAATCACAGTGCAGTGGGTCTCATTGCTCTGGTATGAAGGGAATAAAAGAGAATGGGTCTTGCCTTTCTAGGTCACTGGAGAGCTTTGGACGGCGGGACATAGATATAAACACTTCGCGGACGGCTCTTGCCAACAGCTTGAAGCTGAAGCGGCAGCTGGACTACGAGGAGCAAGCATTTCAGCATCCCAATGGGGTAGCCTATCCTTGATCATTGTTACCTATACCTATACGCATCATAAGTTTAAAGCAAAATTATTTTTTATTTTAAAAAAATGTTGCCTTTTCTTAACCACATAGGCTTGTCCTCCTTTCTCCCAACAGACACAGGGAGACCCCTCTGGCATCAACCCAGCTCACCTAATGTGGAAAAGGATGAAAATTCTCAAAGGTGAAAACTGTGCATTGCTCACAGAGAGGAAGTCACTCAGCACAAGTGTCCTTAATGGTAAGAAGAAAATGACAGCATTAAAGCTAGTTGAATTGGAGTACCAGCAGAGGTACAGGTGATACACTTTGTTTATAAGTTCCCGCTTAGTTGGTATCTCTGGTGATTTCCATTTACATACCATCTATAAAACATTTTATAAGCATTTTCTTCAAGCTTGCCCCAGCCGTCCTTGCTGCTTCCAGAGGTCAGAGTGGAGGGCTGCTGAGCAGGGTACACCTGCCGCCCACCGTGCCTCCCTCCTGGGCACCTGCCTGCCTCCCTCGCTGCTACGATCAGCTGGGCTCCCACGAGGAGGAGGAGGAGGCACCCTGCTCTCTCCCCCTGCCCAGCCTCTGGAGAACAGCTGGGGGGCTCCTCTCCTCGCCGCCTTGGGGGCAGGTCGTGCGGGGTGGGCTTGGCGCTGGCATTTTTCTCTCCACACACACCCTGCTGCCACCACCCTTCCAAGGCCAGTTGCACTAGCAGGATCAGCAGGGGGTAATCCTCTCCGAGTCCGAGCCTTTTCCCCTGTGGCGGCAGCAGCCTGGAAGCTTGTCTTGCCTTGCCAGAGTCCTGGACTGGCCCTCCGTCCCCTTCTTCATCTCCTTTCCATCCCCATTTGGCCTCCCACCCCAGCCAAGAGGAAGGGGACCTCCTAACAGCCGTTGCATACATTCAGTATTCTAATATTCTGAAAAATACACTAAAATACATTAACATACAGAGGATTTATAGTCCTTTTTGTTGAGAATACATATGTGAGGACTATAATATGCAATAAACCACTTGTATTTATTATTTAGTTATTATTTAGAAGTATGAGCATGGCATGGCAGTACTGCACAGACATTTAATGGCAGCCCCCCCAGCAAAACATTGTCCCCCCGAGCAAAAAGTTGTTAGCTATGGGGCTGTGCCTGCCTTGGCTTCACACTATATATGCTGATGGGGTCTGAAGTGGCTGAGACCAAGACTGAAAGGTCTTGGGGCTGTAGAAGATCACTTGATGAAAATGACGGGTCTGCGCATGGCAGTAGTGAAAAAGGCAAACTCCGTGCTGGGGAGTATTAGAAAAGGGATTGAGAATAAAATGGCTAATAATGTAATGTGCTATGGTGCATCTGTATTTGGAATACTATATACAGATCTGATTGCTGTGTCTCAAAAATGATATTTCAGTACTGGAAAAAGTACAGAAAAGAGCAATTTATGAGGAGTATCTGAAGACACAGGGACTTTTCAGTTTAGGGGGAAATGACAGTTATGGAGGGACATGATGGAAATTGATAAAACTCTGCATAGGGTAGAGAAAGTGGATAGACCGAGCTTTTTCACTGTCTCCCATAGTGCTAGAATTCAGTTTGGTGTAGTGGTTAAATGTGCGGACTCTAATCTGGGAGAACTGGGTTTGATTCCCCACTCCTCCATTTGCAGCTGCTGGATGAACTTGGGCAAGCCATAGAGCCGCACTTAGCAAGGTTTTAACAGGATTGGATTGCAAGCCACCCTCACCGTCTGAGATATGGTTCGCTTTGATCCTTCTCATCCCGGTTAATGCCCCCCCCCGAACAAAAAGTTGTTAGCTATGGGGCTATGTCTGCCTTGGCTTCACACTATATATGCTGATGGGGTCTGAAGTGGCTGAGACCAAGACTGAAAGGTCTTGGGGCTGTAGAAGATCACTTGATGAAAATGACGGGTCTGCGCATGGCAGTAGTGAAAAAGGCAAACTCCGTGCTGGGGAGTATTAGAAAAGGGATTGAGAATAAAATGGCTAATAATGTAATGTGCTATGGTGCATCTGTATTTGGAATACTATATACAGATCTGATTGCTGTGTCTCAAAAATGATATTTCAGTACTGGAAAAAGTACAGAAAAGAGCAATTTATGAGGAGTATCTGAAGACACAGGGACTTTTCAGTTTAGGGGGAAATGACAGTTATGGAGGGACATGATGGAAATTGATAAAACTCTGCATAGGGTAGAGAAAGTGGATAGACCGAGCTTTTTCACTGTCTCCCATAGTGCTAGAATTCAGTTTGGTGTAGTGGTTAAATGTGCGGACTCTAATCTGGGAGAACTGGGTTTGATTCCCCACTCCTCCATTTGCAGCTGCTGGATGAACTTGGGCAAGCCATAGTTCTGTCAGAGCTGTCCTTGAAAGAGCAGTTCTCTCACTCAGCTCCACTTACCTTACATGGTGTCTGTTGTGGGGAGAGGGAGGGACAGGAGTTTGTAAACCGCTCTGAGACTCAAGTGAAGGGCGGGATATCCAATCTCTTCTTCGTCTTCTTCAGTGCCACCCAATGTGATTGATGGGCAATAGATTCAGGACAGACAAAATGATGTTTCTTTACTCAATGAGTAATTAAATTATGGAATTCACTGCCAGTGGACATAGCAACGGCCATGAGAATAGATGGCTTTAAAAGGAGTTAGATTCATGGAGGATAGGTCCATCAGTGACTACAATACAACCATGGTGATAAAGGGAACCTCCACATCTAGAGGCAGTAAACATCTGAATACCAGTGCCAGATGGCAACATCAGATTATGAGTAATTAAATTATGGAATTCATTGCCAGTGGACATAGCAACGGCCATGAGAATAGATGGATTTAAAAGGAGTTAGATTCATGGAGGATAAGTCCATCAGTGACTACAATACAACCATGGTGATAAAGGGAACCTCCACATCTAGAGGCAGTAAACATCTGAATACCAGTGCCAGATGGCAACATCAGATTTTTATCAATATCTCACCTTTTAATTACTCACCATTTGGGGCTTGTTCACACTGGCCTGTTCACCAGCTGGTGGCTTCAGCATCGAGTGAGGGCTTGCAGTCTGAATGAGCCATCAAAGATCCAGCACCATAGCTAGAATCCTCAGATGATCTAAAACAAATTACTTTTCAGTACCTTGGTTCTGACATATCAGTTGGAGTGCCAGGCTAAGTTCAAATCCCCAACTCTACTGGGGAAGCTTTCTGGGTGACCTTGAGCTCTCAGCCTAACCTACCTCACAGGGCTATCATAAGAACACAATGAAGGAAGAAAGAACAATGTTTTTAAGCAGCTTTGGGTCTCCAGTGAGGAAAAAAGAAGGCAATATATATTTAAATAAACAAACAAGCACAATGATGAAGCACAATTTTGTCCAAAGTGAATTAGCCTGAAACAAGACTCTGTCCACTTGGGCAACCCCTTCCTCCTGCCCTAGTATGCTGTGAGTGAATGAATAACTTCCATTAGTTCCTAGTTTATGGGAAACCACAGTTATGTGTAACCGGACCCTGCAAACTACGATGTGTTTGGCCTGCATACCAGGATTGCAAAATGAGAACAAACCACAGATAACAAGCCTGATTTGGAAGGCAAGCACAAACTTCACTTTGCCACTTTGGCTGCCATGTCAAACTATACCCCCCCCCAACCAGGAAGTAACCAATTAGTGTGTGGCAGGAGAGGAGGTTAAGAGGGTGAGCCTGAGGCCTGTTCTCCTGACATGGTTGGTGTTAACCAAAACACTGTGGTCAATTCAAACATTCAGCCACCAAGTGCACAGTAATCAATTCCAGAAAAATCCAGTGGTCACACACGTTATATATTAGCAAGGCAGAGGGATGGACTCGTGTGCTAATCAAGCATGCGTAGCAAATTCATGTTTAAATGAGATTCTCTGCAAGTACTAAGCCCTACAGGTGATTTATTCTGCCTCACCAGCATGAAAACAACGTACCTTTTGAAGCAAATTGGTATATGTAACTCTGTGAAAAATATGAGTTGTGTCTGGATCAGGTAAAGGTTCATGTTTTTGCTCTTGTTCCCAGCTACAGCTAGCTGATGTTTGTTTTAATTTCTTGCATTCAATCGCAGATGAGTTTCTTTGTAAACCACAAAGAGGCTCAGGCCAGCTACTGAACATGGCACAGCAGCAGCCGCAGCTGCCCCCCTCCTCTGGGAACCCTGCTGATCATCCTAAAGCCATATTATCCCCCCACTTCTACAGTTCCCCTTATCAAGACTTCCGTGTGCCACAAGCTCATAGGATGTCAGGTAACATCTGATGCGCATCCGACTACAAAACTTTTCTTTTTCAGTTGGATCCTGGAAGTTTGCATTTAGGCTTTGTCACAAGATAGCTATACGCTATCCCCTGAGCTTCTTCTTTTTTCCTATGTATTTTTGTTTTAGATCCCCCCCCCAAATTAATTTGAAAGAATAGTTGTTTATTTGTGTTAATGAAACAATTTTTTTTAGAATGGCTGCACTCAGTTCGTTTTTTTTTTAATTGTATGCTTTAAATAAACACACACCATGGTTTTGATTCCTCACCCTCTGATTTATGGGCCCACCCTGTAGCACCACACTGCTGCAGACTCTCTAGACAAGCACCTTATGATGACCTTGCCCTCTTTCCTCCCTCACACACAGGATTTTCCCTCTGTTTTTTCTTCCTTCTTGACTGAGCAGCCCCTTTATCTATTTTCTTCTTTTCTGAAGGTTTATGTCTATCCCATCCTGTCACTTCATTGTATTTTGATGCTGGCTCAGCCCAGGACCTTGAGGGAAGAGACAAGATCACCTCTTTAACTTAAACTTCTGAAACTGGCACACAGGCTTTTTAAAGTTCAAAAATAAACAAAATATTTTATTCAACATAGAGGGGAAAAGGTCAAGCGAAATCAAGTCTGAGGTGAAACAAATATAACTCTGAGATAATTTGGTATAATCACAAACTCCTGTTCATGTGTTTCCAACACGAGAGTTTAAAGTTTTACACAAAGTCTTAGAATCTTTGAAATGTGAAGCTTTTGTTTCAGTGCTTTTTAAACACTCCAGTATACTTTCTTGAGTTTATCTGACTCTTCAGGTTTCAGAAGGCTGGGATACATTGGCAAGTACCCAAATTCCTTCACTCTACTCTACTCCACTCCATTCTTTAGAACTATCTCCCTTATCAACTGGGCATGGAATTTCTTCTCTCTAAGTAGAAGATCTATCCCTTTTCCTGGCCCAAATGGGGGGCTTCACCGATTCTCCCACTTCTCCTTGCCAATCTTCCCAGTCCTCAGTCAGTGTAAAACTTTCTTCAGTCAGTCCTAAACTGTCCTCAGTAAGGGCTAAACTGCTCCTATTCTCAGTCAGAGCTAAAACAAAGTTCTCTTCAGCCGTCAGTTCCCAAGTCTTTCTGCTCTACTGTCACCAACCAATCAAATCCCTTTGAGCAGCCTGGCACTCCAGGCTCTTTGGCTCTGTGGAGCATTAACCCTTCACAGTCCATTACATGTTTACACAGCACTTATGAGCTTTTAAAGTGTAGTCCATCACACACCTGCAGATCAGGTGCCCAAAGAGAAGGCAGAAATAGAAGAAGGTTAGAAGGGGGTCCAGGAAGTCAAAAAGTGTGAGAAACAGCTGAAAATGGCATCCTATACAATCGGTGTAACACTCAAAATCATCTTGTTTCAGGAGTAGCAAGTCGCCTACTTGGCCCATCGTTTGAACCTTATTTGTTGCCAGAATTGACCAGGTATGACTGTGAGGTTAATGTCCCGGTGCTGGGCAGCTCAACACTTCTGCAGGGGAGTGAACTGCTGCGAGCCCTCGACCAGGCAACCTGAGCCCACTCTGCAGGCTTCCCAGGCCTGTGACTGCTCCAAACAGCTTCAGTTTTTAAATCTATTTTTGCAAGTAGATAATTTCTAATATTGATTACACTGTTACAAGATTTTACTTACCTATTGAACTTGTCATATTACCAAATAGTGGCCTTTTTGTGAAGTTACTCACTTTTCTTGTTTGTATTAAAAGAAATATGCATCTACTGTATTTTTCCTTCTATTTCGATAAAATATTCTTTAGAAAGTTTATATTATATAATTCCCCTTCACCGTGTGTAATTTATATGTTCTAAAACTTCCTTGATATTCATTCTAATTAAAAAAATGTGGTGTGCTAATGCCTGTATGTAATACTTTGGCTTCATTATTGCAAAGACTTTATTTTTATTGCCAAAGATAAGTGGGGGGGGAATCTTTTCCCTAATCATAGTCAGCACTGGTTTATTCAAATAAAACTGCCTGCCCTTAGACTTTCTACATTCTGCCTTTTCCAGCAGAAAAAAACTGCAACTTTTGATCTCTTAATAGCTAAAAAAGCAAGAGATAAAACACTCTGAATTCCCCCCGCATGTACACATTCATAATATGCAACTTGCCAAGACCTAATCACAGTGCTGGAGCCCTGCAAAAGTAGCAGGATTACAGGTTGTTTTTCCTAATACTTGCTTAACAATGATAAGACCTCATTTGTATCAGGATGGAGGGGAGCTCAGCTGCATAAGCAATCTGAGCAGCAGCTTGACTCAGCCATATTTCAATATCTGACAATGAGTGTTGGGAACCTAGCATCTAAGGATGTACCACTTGAATCATAAAGTGCAGCTATTTGGGTTAGAAATTTTCTTGGGCTGGCCATGATTTGAGGATTGAGGGTTATTTTTGCCAACAAAAGAGCTGACATTATTAGGCAAGTAACTGCTATGGGTTTTAGAATACCAAGGTGCCTTCCCCACCAGAATCTACCCATCTCCCAGAATAAACTCAGCATGATCTTAATTAAACAGGTGGGGGATGGATGCTGCCATCTTAGATTTTTCTGGTAGTGTGAAGAATTCAAAATGGCAGAACTCCTGCTTCCAGTCTCTTTTAGATCAGGATTGAGTAAGCTCTTTGAGTAAACTGGGAGTTGGGAATGCATCAGAGTTGGGGGCAAAGGAGATAACAGGGGATTCTGGATTGTTAGAGAGATGTTTTCAATCTCTGGTTTTTAATCCTCCAGTTTTTTATATGAAACATAACTGAGTCTTTGATATTTTTCTCTGGGCTAAATATTTATCATATATTGGTACTTTGTTATACCTAGATTTGGAACCATGAACCGTTTTTTAGGAGTTATTTTACTTAGATCTGGTAGAGTTTGTTGTTGTTGTTCCACTGCTGTCGATGTTGCAGGGCTTGTCCAAAGGCTATCGCTAACACTGCTAATCGCTAGTTAGGTGGACTATTTGTTTGCAGCTAGTTAGCCTCCTCCTCTGCAATAATGAATTTTGCTGAGATATATGACTTTAAATGTATTTGCTTGCCTGTGTATTACCATGTTACCTGTGGGAAAATCAAATACGGGCTTTGGAGTGGCTGAGTGGGAAACTGTGTGCTGTTGGTATAGCTTGACTTTTAATTGTCGATAGTCTTTCAGGTGCAAAATAAACTTGTAGTCAGTCCTCAAAAAGCTGACTTGACTATTTGAGAAATGCCATAAAACAATGTTGGTGCTCAGGAATTTATTTAAATTGAAGGATTATGTTTCGTTCCCTGTAATCCCCATTGCCTTGGCTGGGCAAACAGGGCAAACTCTGTACTCAGTCCAGCAACAATATACACTCAAGGAATCGAGCAGTTCAGATTTGTTTTAATGATTTATTAAAGCCTAAAGTTTAAGCAACAGGATCAAGGTTATGAGGGCCAAGGGGCAAATTTAGGGCAATTTTTAAAAAACAGGATGATATCAGATCATGCCCATCTGCCAATATAATTGCCAGATGTAAATTAACATAGCTGTATAGAAGCCAGTGACTCGTTGAAACTCACAGTGTTCGTTAGCACTGCAGATCATGGCTGCAGTCCAGAGAATACCTCACATAAGTCACAAATAACCTGTCCCATTAATTTACAGTACAACATATTCTCTGTGTGGGCCCTGATCCTACAAGCTAACATGCCCCTATTCTGGATTTTCTCTAGGTTATAGAACCTAGACTTTTGTAAAACTGAGTCAAAGCTCTGTATGATCTTCAGTGAATGTATGGAGCTCCAGCAAAGATGGGCTTCCCCATTCATGCTGCAGCTCTGCTGTTAGCAAACATGCATAGCTGTCTCTGGCACTGAAATGCAAAGTGAGATTCCTATAGGTCGTAGATCTCCATGAGTGCATTGAAGTTCCTGCGCCCTAAGGGACTTCTGGCAATAATTTTATAAGTGCATCTTTTTATTTCAGTTCACTTTTTTGTGAAGCTGAATTCCATTTTAATGGGCCAATTTGTGCACAATCCAGAGCGGTGCTAAACTGCAGTGCTAAATCTGATGGAAATAAAACTAATTTAGTACAGGTTGTGCTCAATAGATGGACATTCTTCCTCCATCAAGAGGGACCTATGAAAATTCTTCTGTAGGCAAAAATTTGTGAGCAAAACTGCTTGAGAATCCAGCTTGCTTGGGGGACCTTTCCTGCAGAGTCCATGTAGGTGTTTGCCTTTTAATTTAATTTTTCCCCATGAACATTCCTCCACGGAGGCAAAACTGTACATCAGAACTGATATGAAGTTTGCATTCTGGAAGCATTTTTTCCAGTCCTGCTCCCCTGTCCTGGTGTAGAATCTCCCAGGTGCTCAAAGCTTGCATGCAAAAGGCACTGCTTGTTCTGGCATTAGATTTTAGCAGCTTCCTTGTAGGTCACAAAAATTGCACCAGCGAATAGTCCTTCTGCAAGAGGCATAAGTTGCATGACAAGTAAATCTCTTGGATTCATTCCCTGTTGCCTTTGCCACTACTCAGGAGATCCGCATCAACAGGGGAAATTCCCCAGGTGCTGAAGGCAGGCCCTCCCAGAATCCCTGCTCATGGATGTCTGCTAGGGCTTGTGCTAACTTCAGTGTCTGTCTGTGCCAGAATTATGCAAAGTTCAAGATTAGTCTCTGGTTGCTGAGGATCATAACACTTTTAAAATTAGGAAGCACTGCGTTGACTGAGCACTTCCAAGTGTACTGTCTTTCAGCAACTAATAACATAGTTTCAGATAATGGTGGGGTGGGAGGGATGCAATTCGTTTTCTGTCATTTTTAAATAAAGGTGTAAGGCCTGTGATGAAGTCAGAAGTTGTTAACCCCCCCAAAAAAAATTGCACGATCCTTCCAGTGCTAAGCACTTTTAAGTCTTATTGACTTAAAACAGTGTCTCACACAAGTAACTGCCTATGGCTGTGATTGGCTGCACATTTCTGTTGATTATCCAATTAGAGGCAAATCCACATTTGCTTCAGAGAAATGAGTAGAATTTGGCCTTAACTTTTGACTGGATCGTCCCTTGAGTTATTATGATAAGTCAAGTTATAGCTAAGCTTCAGAAAGGAGCATCAATTAATAAGGGCAACATGAGGCTGCCCACCTCACCTAGTTCACTCTAAAATAATCCCCCTGGTTTATTATGGTGACTCTGGAGTAAGCTGTTTGAAGCTTGTGGCTGTAGCTAAGGGGATTTGACAAAGCTGTTGTGGTAATGACTTTTATGCTTGAAGGGTTAATTACACTTTTTTAACTTTTAGATTCTGTATACTTTAAGCATTAAAAAAATATTTGTACCCTAACCATTTACTAAACACATTGGGGGAGGGGGAGAGGAAGGGAGGGGGGTTAAGAAAAATCCATGCTTAAAATATTAACCATAACTATTGTCATAATTATTTCATGGTCTCTATATTGTTGGATTTCTTATTGATAATATTGTAACTGTATGGGAACTTTTAACTTGAGAAGGAAATGTATTTTGACACTGATACCTTATTAAAGTATACTGATCTTACATGTCTTTGTGACTGTCTTGTTTCTGACAAAAATGTCACTTGGATGTATCGTTGTAAACTAAAGTATTTATTAAATTATTTATAGAAAATAAAAAAGGTTTGCACTGATCTTTAAATGCACGGAACAAGGACAGGCAGTGACCTGCTAATTCTCGAATACGGCATCACAAGATAAGGGATGTGGAAAAAATTGGGAAGCATGACAACAACCTTGTGAAGTAAGTTAAGGTGAGAGAGAGTGACTTGCACATGGCCCCTCCTGAAGCATCATAGCTGACTGCAGCTTTGAACCCAGATTTCCATAGTCCAAACAGCATAACTGCCCCTCTAATTTGTGAGATTAGCCACGTGCAGCTGTGGCAGGGCTCTTTTTGTAGAAAAAGCCCAGCAGGGACTCATTAGCATAATAGGCCACACCCAACATCAGAAACTCATTAGCATATTAGGCCACACCCCTGACAGCAAGCTCATTAGCCCATTAGGCCACACCCCCATGTTACCAGAAGTGTGGTCACCCAGCCACACCCACTTTTTGCTTCTTATTCTGTTTACCTTGTTTGTTGTCAAAACCCAGGACTTTTTTTGGAGCATGTTAGGCCACACACCCCTAAAGTAGCCAATCCTAATGAGTTTCTGCTGTTGGGTGTGGCCTGTTACGCTAATGAGTTCCTGCTGGGTGTGGCCAAGTTGGGAGCCAGCCAGAACTCCGTTCCTGTGCGTTCCTGCTCCAAAATAGCCCTGGCTATAAGGGACTAGTGGCTATCAAATATGTCCATGGTGGAGGTGAGATCTGAACAGGCAATAGCCTGATGATAAAAAGGTACAGCATAGAATCAGGTGGATAACCATGTTGATCTGAAGCAGCAGAACAAAGTCTGAGTCCAGTGGCACCTTTAAGACCAACAAAGCTTTATTCAAGGTATAAGCTTTCGTGTGTACGCACACTTCTTCAAATAACAATGAAATGGAAGTTACCAGTCCATCCATATAGGTAGAGGGTGGGCAGCAAATTAGCATACAGCATAATGAAGATATTTAACAGAGGCAAGGACCAAACAGGAATAACAAGCTTAGGTTACCATTTGTTTGAGCATGTTTGTTTGATTGCTTTTATCCTGCCCTTCTTTCA